GTTTTGACATGAATTACCTTAAAAGCACTTTCAGTTTTGACATTGGTAATTTTGAAAGCACTTCCAGTTCTGATATTAATAATTCTGAAGGCACTTCCAGTTTTAACATGAATCACTTTGAAAGCACTCCCAGTTTTAACATGAATCACTTTGAAAGCACTCCCAGTTTTAACATTAATCACTTTGAAAGCACTTCCAGTTTTAACATTAATCGCTTTGAAAGCACTTCCAGTTTTAACATGAATCACTTTGAAAGCACTTCCAGTTTTAACATGAATCACTTTGAAAGCACTTCCAGTTTTAACATTAATCACTTTGAAAGAACTTCCAGTTTTAACATGAATCGCTTTGAAAGCACTTCCAGTCGCGTGAACAGAAGGAAGTATAAAATGAAACTGAAATTCTACAGAGCACAGACCTCAATCGTAATGACGTTGGGCTAAAGGGGAAGATCTGTGTGTCATCATAGTGAAATCAGGCGCTTTTCGAAATAATGACTTCGAAGAACTGAAATTCTAAAAGTATTTTACCCCTGTGGTAATTTTTATAAATTTTTCTTTTGGGCTGAACATCTTCTATGTCTATTTCAAAACACTTTTCTGTGTGGATTTTACTGAAAACAAATTGATGAATGGCACAGAAAAGTAAACTTGCAGTTGTCAAGGACACTCATACTAGGAAGTCACCAAACTTTGGCGGCTCTTTTTTGTTGTTGCTAATTTTACCTCTGATACCAGGTGACCCCTGCTTCTTTCAATTGCAGCTGTTTCAATTTTTATTCCTATTATTAAATATTTTTTTCTTCAAAAAGTAGGATAGATGAACAAACTTAACGATGATACCAATAACTCTAAACATGCCCCAAACTATCGAGCGCCTGATTTCATCATGGCATGACACCCCCCCCCCCACAACCTGGACAACATGCTACCTTTGAATTACACAGTACTATCTGCTAAGTGTCTAATTTTGAGAAATAAGACTTAAAAATTTTTGAGTTCCTCAACATGTCGAGCTTTTTTAAATGCAATTCTTTGAGTATCTTGAAAATGACCCCGAATAATATTACGACTTTGATAGAGCAGACAGAACCTTTGGTTTCTGACCTCATGGTCTTAGTAACTCAAAATGGCCAAACGTATTAGAAAGAATCTTTTTACTTCTGAGGTAGTGACCTATGACAAAAAGGGCCAAGAGTCGGAAATTGGAGTTATGGAGTTTGTACAAGATAGGCCTCAGCTCGCGACTGAGTTGACTCCCCTGGGAAGGGGGTTGGGGGAGTGTGTGTGTGTGTGTGTGTGTGTGTGTGTGTGTGTGTGTGTGTGT